AGAGATGGGGTCTTGCTTTTTGCTCAGACTGGTCTTGAATTTGTGAGTGCAAGCAATCCATCCCCATGGGACTCCCAGAGTGCTAGGATTACAGGCGTGAGCCACCACGTCCAGTCACCAAATTCTTTTCTTGAGTGAAATTTGAGATTACAGAGTGCACCTTTTAATAAATGGTGCTGGGTGGCTTGGTGCCTGTGGCTCAAGCCACTAAGGCGCCAGCCACATACACCTGAGCTGGCGGCTTCAAATCCAGCTCGGGCCGCCAAACAACAATGACGGCTGCAACCAAAAAAATAGCCAGGCGTTGTGGTGAGTGCCTATAGTCCCAGCTACTTGGGAGGCGGAGACAGGAGACTCGCTTGAGCCCAGGAGTTGGAGGTTGCTGTGAGCTGTAATGCCATGGCACTCTACCCAGGGCAACAGCTTAAGGCTCTGTCTCAAATAATAATAAATAAACAAACAAACAAATAAATAAATAAATAAAATGGTGCTGGAGGGCGGCGCCTGTGGCTCAGTGAATAGGGCACCAGCTCCATATACCGAGGGTGATGGGCTCAAACCCGGCCCCAGCCAAACTGCAACAAAAAAAAGCTGGGCATTGTGGCAGGCACCTGTAGTTCCAGCTACTCAACAGACTGAAGCAAGAGAATTGCCTAAGCCCAAGACCTGGAGGTTGCTGTGAGCTGTGATGCCTACCGAGGGCACAAAGTGAGACTGTCTCTAAAATAAATAAATAAATAAATAGTGCTGGAACGACTGGATGGCCATAGGAAAAGATAACACTGAATCCACATCTCCTACCCAGAAAAACTAAATAGAAATGAATCATAGGTCTAACCATAATGAGATACGGTGGCTCATACCTGTAATTCTAGCACTTTGGGAGGCTGAAGCAGGAGGATTGCTTGAAGTCAGGAGTTCAGAACAGCCCAAACAAGAGCAAGACCCTGTCTTTACAAAAATACAAAAATTAACCAAGCATAGTGGCACACACCTGTAGTCTTAGCTACTCAGGAGGCAGAGGCAGGAGGACTGTGTGAACCCGGGAGTTTGAGGTTGCAGTGAACTAGGATGACACCACTGCACTCTAGTCCAGGTAACTGGGTGAGATTCTGTCTCAGAAAAAAAAAAAAAAAAGGCTAAAACTATAAAACTTCTAAAGGAACCCCTTGGAGAATATCTTTGCATCCTTGGGGTAGGTGAAAAAAATTAATTTTCTTATTTATTTATTTATGTATTTTTAGTGAGATAGTCTCACTCTGTGGCCCTTGGTTTCACAGGAACCTCAAGCTCTTGGGCTGAAGCAATTCTCTCGCCTCAATCTCCCCAGTAGCTAGGACTACAGGTGCCTGCCACAATGCCTTTTTTTTTTTTTTTTTTTTTAGAAAGGAGGTTTCATTCTGGCTCAGGCTGAGGTTAGGGCAATCCACTTGCCTCAGCCTCCCAGAATGCTAGGATTATAGGTGAGAGCCACCGCACCTGGCCTGAAAATTTTTTAGATCATAAAGACCTAACAATGAAAGGAAAAAAGATCAGATTTTATCAAAATTAAAAATTTCTGCTCATCAAAAGATATTAAATTGGCTTCAAAACAGTGCAGGTGGTGGGTAAAGGGAGCAATTGATGATGGTATAAAACAAACATGACTGGTCATGAGTTGATAATTATTACAGTTGATTGACAAGTACATGTAAATTCATCATTATATTATCTTTATAGGCTCCGTGCCCATAGCTCAGTGGTTAGGGTGCAGGCCACATACACTGGGGCTGGCGGGTTCAAACTCTGCCCAGGCCTGCGAAACAATAATGACAACTACAACAACAAAAAATACCCAAACAGCTAGGCATTGTGGTGGGCACCTATAGCTCCAGCTACTTGGGAGGCTGAGGCAAGAGAATCACTTAAGCCCAAGAGTTGGAGGTTGCTGTGAGCTGTGACACCACAGCACTCTACCAAGGGCAACATAGTTGAGACTCTATCTCAAAACAAACAAACAAACAAAAAATATATATATATACACACATACATACGTATATATATTCTATTTATACATATTTAAAGTTTTCCATGAGAAAAATTTTTTTAAAAAACTATAGAAAGGTTTATAATGTGGCATATAAAACAAAAGGCACAGCTAAGAAAATGAATAGGCTAAACACAAACCGAGAAAAATATTTGAAATACATACATTTGGTAAAGGATTTGTATCCACAATACACAGGGTGTGCAAACGTTTGGTGTATTTTTATTTTATTTATTTATTGAGACAGAGTCTCACTTTTTTGCCCTAGGTAGAATACCGTGGCACCGTAGCTCACAACAACCTCAAACTCTTGAGTTCAAGCTATCCTCTTGCCTCAGTTTTTCATTTTTAGTAGAGATAAGGTCTAGACCTCCCAGAGTGCTAGGATTACAGGAGTGAGCCACCGTGCTCGTGCCCAGCCCCAGTTTGGTGTAGCCAGAGCAAGACCTTGTCTCTAAAAATAGCCGGGTGTTGAGGCTGACGCCTGTAGTCCCAGCTACTTGGGAGGCTGAGGCAAGAGAATTGCTTGAGCCCAAGAATTTGAGGTTGCTGTGACCTATGATGCCATGGTACTCTACCGAGGGCGACAGAGTAAGACTCTGTCTTAAAAAAAAAAAAGCATTTAAAGCTCAAATGTGTGCTAAGCCTTTTGGGATATCCTGATAAAGAACTCCTAGTACTAAAGAACAAAAAGACAACTCCATAAAAATGAACAGAACACTGAAAGGACACTTCGCAGACAAAAAACATACTTTGTGAAAGTTAAAAAAAGCAGGTTAGCACTACACATTCACTAGAATGGGCAAAATAAAAATGACTGACAACCAAATGTTGGTTGAGGATGTGGAGCAACTTATACATTGCTAGTGGGAATAAGAAATATTTGGAAAACCGTTTGGTCTGTCAGTTTCTAACAAAATGAAACACATTTACCAAATGATCCAGAAATTTGTCTATATAGACGCTTAGCTTTTAAATGTCTTGCAAATCCAGATGACCAAGTTTCTATCCTTAGCCAATGTCTCAAGTCACAGTAAACACATGGGGTGTAGTTTATTGTTAATGATAGTTGATTTAAATCCCTATTTCAATCAGTCTTGTTGATAATCCATTTTTTTGGTTCTAGTTCTTGTCAAATCTTACTAGATCATCACATGTTTAACCTAGTTATGTGGCTGACTTTGGTATAACAGAAATTGTAAAATCCTGGGAGAAAGCAATGAGCTGGTGGAGTAAGCGACAAAACGCAATTTTGTGGAGGCAGCATTTTTACGTGATACCTGTGTCTTTCTGGTTTGAGTCAGAATTATTGACAGCTGTAGTTCTAATACCTAGCATCCCAGCACTCCGGGATGCCAGGGTGGATGGATTGAGACCAGCCTGAGCAAGAGCAAGGCCCCCCCATCTCTAAATATAGCCAGGCGTTGTGGCAGGGCCTGTACTCCCAGCTACTCAGGAGGCTGAGGCAAGAGAATCACTTGAGACCAAGAGTTTGAGATTGCTGTGAGCTGTGATGCCACAGCACTCTATGGAGGGCGACATAGTGAGACTGTCTCAAAAAACAAAAGTGACCTATTAGACCAGGTGCGGTGGCTCACATCTATAATCCTAGCACTTTGGGAGGCTAATGTGAAAGGATTGCTTGAGGTCAGGAGTTTGAGACCAGCCTGAGCAAGAAGGAGACACCCTCCTCCCTCCCCCGTTGTCTTTATTAAAAATAGAAAAGATTGGCCAGGCGTGGTGTCTTGCACATGTAGTCCTAGCTACTGGGATGGCTCAAGAGTTTGAGGTTGCTGCAAGCTAGATTGATGGCCACCAGGCTCTAACCAGGAGCAACAAAATGAGATTCCTAAAAACAAAACAGAACAAACCCCCTGGGTTCCAGGCCTGCTCCTTTCTTGTGAGGTTGAAATTTATTCTGTCTCTTCAGTCCTCAGCTTCCCCTTCTACACAGAGCAGGAGTTGAGATATGTGAGCCCAATATTAAATACTGGCTCACCATTGCTAGACATTGGGGTGTCTCAGCGTGGTGTTAGCCGGTCTTTAACACCTACCTCTCCAATAATAGCTAACCTCTCTTTTCAGCATCAGTATGTATTAATAGTATTTTGTTTCTGGCGCCAGCCACATACACCTAGCCGGCGGGTTCGAACCCGGCCTAGGCCTGCTAAACAACAATGACAACTGCAACAAAAAAATAGCCAGGCGTCATGGTGGGCACCTGTAGCCCCAGCTACTTGGGAGGCTGAAGCAAGAGAATTGCTTGAGCCCAAGAGTTTGAGGTTGCTGTGAGCTGTGACACTACAACACTCTACCAAGGGCAACATGGTGAGCTCTGTCTCAAAAAAATTTTTTGTTTCCATATTTGTATTGATGTTTACAGTTCTCTGTATAAATAAATAATACTGATTTTCTATTTGCAGCTCAGGAGTGATATCAGCTCTTTCTGTATCATTTGCTTCCTTAAACTGAAAGAAGAAAAACTCCATTCGAAGAGAAAAAAGTAATAGAGCAGGTGGTGATGAACTAATGATTTAAACTTGGGAAACAGTGGCCCAAGCACACAGCCCGACTCATTCCCGCCAGCTTCTGGATTTAGCTTCCACAATTTTCTTTTTTTTTGAGACAGAGCCTCAAGCTGTCCTCCTGGGTAGAGTGCCGTGGCACCACAGCTCACAGCAACCTCCAACTCTCGGGCTCAAGAGAGTCTCCTGCCTCCGCCTCCCAAGTAGCTGAGACCACAGGCGCCCACCCCAACGCCCGGCTATTTTTTGGTTGCAGCCGTCATTGTTGTTTTGGCGGGCCCGGGCTGTATTCGAAACCCTCACCTTAGGTGTAAGCTTCCACAATTTTCGATTTCTCTCCGCCCCGCCCTCCCGCGGGAAACGAGGCCCACCCACTCGCCCCGCCCACAACCGAGCGCGCGGTTCACAAGCCCCGCCCCGCTCCTGCCCCGCCCACGAGGCTCGCCCCGCCCCTCAGGTTCCCCTTTCTCGGCCGCCGTTGCTCGGCGCTCAGGGACGGCAAGATGGCGGCGCAACAGCAGGAGCTTGAGGGCGGTGCGCAGCGGGCCGGGTCGGCAGCGGAGGCCGACCCCCTAGGCCGCTTCACCTGTCCGGTGTGCTTAGAGGTGTACGAGAAGCCTGTGCAGGTGCCCTGCGGACACGTGTAAGCGAGGAGCCTGGGCCGAGTCGCGGGGCGCCTGACTGGGAGGGGAATGGAGTGGCGGAGCGAGGCCCCGACGGGTGGAGGTTGGGGGTGAGGGCTCGGGGAGGGAACGAGGGAACCGGCCTCGAGGGGCCCCTCCGCGGGTCTTCGCGGGCTCCTGAAGGCCCGTGGAAGTCGGCGGGGCGCTGTGCCTTTTCGCCTGTCTGCTCCTGAGTGGGACAGCTACCGTCGGTTGAGCGCCCGCTGCGTTCCCGCGGCCTGTCAGACTCCTTCCCACACGTGATAGCGAAGTTGTGCCCTGCGGGACTTAGGTGGAGTCTCAAGTCCCTTGGCTAGTCTCTACATCGCTCTGAAAGTTTAGTACTTTTGGCGTCGTGTGTCTAGCTCTTGACAGTAATTTCAGTGTGCGCTAAAGTTAGAGGAACGCTGAAGTAGACCAAAAGAACAAAAAAAAGAGAAGTTATCGTGCAGATCTGGCCAGTCTGCCCTTAGCCGTGAAAGGCTTAGGGTTGGCACATAGGAATTTGTTAGCATTCCTACTTGTGTAGGAGGGTTTTTTTTTTTTTTTAGTCTATTTTCAATTACGCCTTCATGGCCTAAATACTGTTAATAGACTGGTTATGATGCGTAAGGCAGATACAGATGTGTGAAAATGTCCACTGCAGTTCCTAGGCAGTGGTAGGTGCTCTGAGGTTGGCCAATTTGACTCTGTTTTGAATCAGACACTCGTACTGTGAAAAAAAAAATGTAGAAAATATGACCACCTGCTCCTTGCCTCTCAGTTGGTATTTTCTCCATGGCCTTCCTCACTACTTACTCTGAGGGTCTTTGTCCTTGTCATTGGTGGTACCACTTTACCAGTCAGAATGCACAGTAGACGCCTGCTGAGACCCACAGGCATTTTCCTTCAGCACTGCTGTCGTGGATAGGAGGTTGGTTTTACAGGTGAATAAACTGTGGGGACTGAGACTTATTTAGGCCAAGTTCACCATTGCCTAATTCTTCCTGGATCTACTTCACCCGTCTTGTTAGCTCAGAGAAAAGTGCTTGGCACCTGGCAAAGGCTCCGTAGCCACATAGGTTGCTTTTTGCTACTTCATCTTCCCTTCACATAGTTTTAGGCTGTTCCTCTTTGCAGTTCTGTTACCCTGGAGCTCTTCTTGCCCCATCCACACATCTCTCACCACTACCCCCAAATCCCTTTCAGGCTTCCAGTCCAAGTTTAAGTTAACTCCCTGATTACCATCCTTATCTAAATTACTTCACTCCTCCTGGAAATTCCTTACTTCTCCTTCCTTGCACATAGCAAAACTTAAGCATTATCAGGGCAGTTTTTGCCTCTCTACTGTATCTATCCCCAGTCCAGTGTCTTGAGTATCAGTATTCCAATCTTACAGTGACCTGTCTGGAATGCTTTCTGTGTCAATTCTAGGGGTATAGTAAGGTGATTCTGCTGTCAGATTCTGCCAGTGAATTGATTATTAAATAAGTACTAATGTTCAAACTGCTATTCATTGTAGGTGGGAGGGTTACAAGGATCAAACCTTTGTGGTGGGTAAGGGGGCAGGGATCAGGTAGTGGTTGAATGAACTAAGAAATTAGAGTAGAAGCAAGCTTCATGAAGAGTTGAAATGGTTGGCTGGATGTGGTGGCTCATGCCTGGGGTCTTAGCACTCTGGGAAACTGACGCTGGTGGATAGCTTGAGCTCACAAGTTTGAGAGCTCAAGCTTGAGACCAGCCTGAACAAAAGTGAGACCCTGTCTCTACTAAAAATAGAAAAACTGAGGCAAGAGGATTGCTTGAGCCAAAGAAGTGAACGTTGCTGTGATCTCTGATGCTACAGCACTCTGCCCAGGGCAAAAGCTTGAGTTTGTTTTTTTTTTTAGATAAAGAGTTGTAGTGTCTAGAGTAGCTTTCTCACTGAGTTGTCTTATGTTTGTATCAGGTTTACTTAATTTTGAGTGAATTCCACAGACTTACTATCAAGCTTTGTAAAAAGGCTTGACCCAATACAGTTTTCTATCTGGAAAACAGCAAAATTTGAGGTTTTCTTGGTTCACTTGAGTAAGTGAACCTTTCCTAGGTGATAGGGCAAGAAACAGTAATGGCAATCAAACCTTAGCTTTTTTTTTTTTTT